TCTCAAAAAGTGACTAAGGAATTTCATATCCCTATCACTCACAATTGTCTTAGGAATGCCATGAAGTGTCACAACATCCTTGAAAAATAAATTTATGATATTTATCGCATCATCAATCTTATGGCATGCAATGAAGTGTACTTACTAAATCTATCCACGACGACAAATATGTTATCATAGTCTCTCTTGGTCCTCGACAATCCTAATACAAAATTGGTAGATATATCTATCAAAAGTACTGTAGGATCATGTAAAGGTGTGTAAGATCCATGAGGTAGAACCCTAGATTTAGCATGCTTACATGTTGTGCACCTACTATAAATGCGTTCAACATCTTTCCTCATGTTAGGCCAATAAAAATGCTCATTTAATATATCTAGAGTTTTAACTACCACAAAATGCCCCATCAATTCCCCACTATGAGCCTCACATACAAGTAATTTTCTGAGTAAATAGTTAGGCACACATAACTTACTATCCCTAAGGAGAAAACCATTATGCTTATAAAATTTCTAGAATTCAGAATACTCGCATGCATGATAAACAGTGGAAAAATCATTATCATTAGCATGCATCTCCTTAATATGCTCAAATCCTAACAACTTAGAACTAAGTATAGAAATCAAAGCATGCCTGTAAGATAATGCATCAGCAACAATACTATCCTTACCTTGTTTATAGTTGATTATATAAGGGAAAGATTTTATGAATTCGACCCGCTTACTGTGACAACAATTGAGTTTACCTTGATCTTTCAGATATTTTAAGGATTCATGGTCTGTGTGAATCACGAACTCCTTTGGCAATAAATAATGCTGCCATACCTCTAATACTCTCACTAAGGTGTAAAACTCATTATCGTAAGTTGAATAGTTCAACGATGCGCCAGTAAGTTTCTCACTGAAATAAGCCACGAGATGCTTTTCTTGCATCAGAACTGTTCTTATACCAATACCTAAAGCATGACATTCAACCTCAAAAGTTTTGTTAAAGTTAGGTAAAGCTAAAATAGGTGCAAAACATAATTTATCTTTCAATTAAGTAAAAACGTGTTCTTATTTCTCAGTCCATACAAATTTTATATTTTTCTTTACTAGTTCATTCAATGGTGCTCCTATGGAATTGAAATCCCTAACAAACCTATAGTAAAAGCTCATTAAACTATAGAAACTCTTTACCTCATTGGTTGATGTCATAGTAGGCCATTCTCTTATTGCTTTTACATTATCTTCATCTACCTCAATGCCTTGTGCAGTAACTACAAATCCTAAAAATATTAATTTTTCACTACAAAAGGTATACTTCTTGGCATTCGCATACAACTGTTCCTTTTTAAAGACCTCAAGAACATATCGGATATGTTAAAGGTGATCCTCTAAAGACTTGCTATAAATCAGGATGTCATCAAAGTAAACTACCACAAATTTATAAACCTAACTTATCAACTAGTAAAGTACTTGTGACAATAGCACAACTGCTTCCATCTATGATCAAACTGCATACCTTCTCATTCACATTACATATAGCGTGGAAGATATTCTCTCTTTGATCGTTATCTGTCTCTTTGGATTGTATACTTAAGGCTCTTTGGAAAACTAATATCTCACCCTATACCGGGGCTGCTAAATTGTCTTCACAATCATCTAGTGATGTTCTATTATCATCATCACTATTGTACTCACTGGCAGTCTCTATCTCACCATCGTCTTGCAATAACATGAGGTTTTGTTGGGGCATTGTGACGAGATGTGTCCAACTCCATGGCACCTAAAACACTTAATAGAACTTGATTTTTGAGTAGCAGTAGGTGGTTTAGGGTTTCCTTTAAATTCTCTAGAGTTGGGCTTGTCCTTTCTTTCTTCAAGTTTCTTTCTTTCTTTTTAGGCCATCTGGAACTACACTAAGGGGTAGACTGAGAATTATTTCTAGAAGAACCTTTATACTTTAAATGTTTCTCAATCTTCATAACCATGTGTACCATCTCATCCAGATCTATATAGTGATACAATTCCACAACACTGGCAATCTTTCTGTTCAAACCACTCAGAAATCTACCGATGGTGGCTTCTGGGCTCTCATAAACTCTGATCCTGATCATTTTCATCTCCATCTCCTTGCAGTAATCTTCCAGCGAGAAGGATCCCTGAGTCAATCTTTGGAGCTTCCGGTTTCATAATAAGATGGAACAAATCTCTTTCTCATAATAGACTTCATCTCTCTCCAAGTGGATACAGGTTGGTCTCTATCTCTTTTCTGGAGGGCGGTCACTTGATCCCAGTAAACAAGTGTATAGTCTGTGAACTCAACTACTGCTAGCTTTATTATCTTGGCTTCACTATAGTTGTGGCAGTCAAAAATCAACTCTTCCTTTCATTCTCACTCGACATATGTCTCTACATCATTCATTCCTCTGAATGAGGGTATCTGCATCTTGATGGATCTAATGTCATCATCTTCTCTCTGAATTTCTCTTCTACCGACTTCACTATTGTCGCTATGTGACTCATCATCATCCTAGCAATGTCAGTGTCTAAGATGACTACGGTTCCTTCCTCCGTCTCTCTCATTCATTCTTGTTACTATACCTTTAATGACTAAGCTCAATCTATTGTACATGTCATCCATCAAAGCCTCTATTCGTTCTTCCAAGGTCATAGGTCGATTGGTTTCACTAAGCTGTGACATATCTGTAAAAAGATGTTAATGGAAAAAAGAAATCACTTCCTCTCAATTACTCGTGTTTACCTCTCTTATCTTTTTCTGTCAAGTTGAGTGTTGGAATTGAATCTCATGAATCAAGACAAGTAAGGTTGTCTTTTAAAACTCTACAAAGAATCCTAAAAGGGGATCTTGTTCTCTAAAAGTTCAGAAGCAAGCACACAGAAGAAGAATATGTGGTGCTCTTATACTTATAGCTAAGCAGTTAAGATGCAACTAACCACTTAGATGTATAATGGAACTAAAGCACTTAAGAAAGAATGAAACTAGGAGTAGAAAAAGAAAATTATAGACTTAAAGCGTCAAAGATCCGATTAATCCCTATAGATATTTCCCGAAATGTTATACCTAATTATTCTACCCCAATGATGGTTGCGCTCTATGACTCACTTGAGTTTTTGTGATGTAGATGTTAATGCAGAATATCGAATATAATGTTGTAAAAAGAACCAAGGAGTCACACACTTTTTTTTTTACTCTGTTTTTTTTTTCACCGATTCTATTTTTTTTTTATAGAATCTCTCTCTTTTTATTAAATTCTAATAACACCGTAAAAAAATCTTGAAAACAAACTAAATGAATTAGTACTTTATGTAACGGTGCTAATTTAATGTAAGAAAATAATTGTAAGTAAATAAAAAAGATAGTAGATTTACTGGAGTCTAAGCTCTGATACCAACTGATGCAAAACTCGGGATCAATAATAAAATCTAAAATCCCGCATATACATCAGTAATTAGAAACTCAAAACCCCAAGCAAACCCTCCCTACTTGACTTACACTCAATAAGGGAGTGAAAACCAATGTAAGTGGGAAAGAAATAAGGAAGTAGAATTGAAAAGACGCCACAAGACTTACCTTGATAAATGATCCCAATTCCTAGCAAAACAAGTCAGTCGAAGACCAACCCACTCACTCACTCTTGCAAGCTTGAAGACTTTAAATAAGAATTCTTTGTTGTAATTGCAAAGTCATGTTTTGCATTAATCAAATGCCCTGAGAGAAGTTTGAATATCGATTAGTCACTTGATAGTTACGTGATAGTGGCTGGAAAGTTTTCCAATAGTTATTCTAATAGTTGTGATATCAAATTTTATTGGGTTTATGAGTTGCATTTTCTGACTCATTCGAAAGCGTTGAATGTATAGTAATGAAAGACAAGGGACTAGAATTGATTGCTGAGAAGAGATCTTGTTCAGCGAGCAGCAGATTCAGTGGGCGAACCCGGGAGACAGCGCCAGAACCCGGCGAGAAAGATTTTGAAACTATCCGTTATGTTAGCAAATCATACGAGTCATAGTTGTTTAGCTCTGAGTCCGTGATTAGTCAGCAGAAAGAAGAAAGCTATCTCTATTTGTTATCATCTCCTACTAGTCGCCATCTCCATCCACTACCTCCTCGATGACCGATCCCAAATTCCTCCCAAAGTCATCTTTCCCCACTTATCCTCATAAAAAAGCCCTACAACAACTCACCGAAGAAAGAAAGGGCCTTCTAAGACCGATGTAAAAAGAAAGCGAATGAAATGTGGAGCACATCCAGAAGAATAGAATAAGCAAGAAACTTTTTTTATAGAAGTAGTGGTATAGGTGCTTAAGAGTTTGAGCTCTGACTTTTTGTAGTAGTAGTAGCTAGTCTAGTCTATTGGTGAAAGGAAGGAACCTGACTATTATTATGAAAAGGTGAAAGGGCCGGAGCCTGATTGTCTGAAGTGAAGTAGCCTTGGAGCTTAGCTTTCATTTGACACTGAACCGCTATTGCTGACTACCGGGATGTAACCGTTGCCCTCGGTCCTAACAGCTTATTTACCCCTTAGATGAAAAAGGTAAGACCTTACGTTATTCCTTTCTCACGTCAGAAATTGCTGTTCGGATAAAGTTATTACCCTTAATACACCTTCGGGAGACTACGAGGGTACACTGATAGAGAAAAAGAGTGAAAAGGTCTTATTTTATTGATTCCTGAAGTGAACTTACCGTGATTGCTTTAGGATTTAGCCCGATGAATGTCAAGATGGATTACCTTTCTTCTTTCTCTGATTGTGCAGGAGCAG